TGAGTACTTGCACATTATTGGATCAAAAAAGAAATACTTCCTATTTTCTACAGATATAACTTCATTTTTGTTTTTTAAAGAAGTTTGAGACAAGAAGGTTTGCTCTGTTGCATACAAAAAAAGACACTGAAGCATGCAATTTCAGAGGGAGGGGATGGAGTGGGAAGAGATTAATCAAAGAACTTATATGCATAACCCATGGACAGATAACAGTGCAGTGAAAGCCTGGGGAGACGGTGGCCAATGGGAGGACAAAAGCAACATCTGTAATATTTTCAACAATAAAGATGAATTTTTAAAAGTGCAAGTTAAAATACCAAAAAAAAAAAAAAAAAGCTACTCTATAATAACAAGCCAAGAAGTCCTTACTAGCAACACATTATAAATAAGCTCAGGTAAGGCAACAAAAGAGAAAATAGTCCACTTTTGATTCCCTTAAAAATGAGAATATCACATTATAAATAAGTGGAAACATTAAGTTAATAAAATATTATCATTATCTGTATTAAAAAATAATTACAGTTTCCCTTATGTTCTTACCTTATTCCCTTAATGGAAGTGGCTGTAAAATTCCATTCATGGATTTGTTTCTGCAGGTATCAAAGACAAAAGTCAGTAGCTTGATTTTTTTTCCATGCAAAGAATAATTTTTGGTTTCATTGTATGGTCAATCACTTCTGCTATTTTATTTTCAATAGAGTTTTAGGGGTTAGAACAATATATTTTGCATAATTTGGAACACCAGAAACATTTTCTAATGTATTACAAAAATTCATTTGTTGTCTCTAATCCAGTTTAGAGTAAATGATCTAAATTTGAAATAGAAACAATAGGTACATAGGACTGGCCTTTCATCTTCTTTCAACATATCAGGAAAACTCTAAAATGAGTGTGAAAACAGCCCACCTAAGTTGAGTGACCTGAAAAAATGTTTGGAGAAGCAAGAATGTGGCAGACACCAGTCAGTGTTCACCAATCTTTTTTTTTTTTTTTTCCTGGACACATAGCTAGAACACTTTTTACAGCCTCTCTAGCAGCAAGGTGGGGCATATGATGGCGTTCTAACCAATGGTATGCAAGCAGGAGTGATATGCATCACCTGTGGGCTTGGTTCATAAAACCCTCCACAGAAGTATTCTATATTCTCTTTTCTCATTCACTACAAGATGGAATGGGGACCCTGCCAACCTGGATAGGACATGAGACATAAGATAAACTTTTATCATGTTAATACAATGATATTTGGGAGTTGTTTTAGCAGCTAGCCTACGATGACTAACTGGAATTTCAATTTGTGCAAGATGCACTTTTAAAAAAAATAACTGTCTCCTTCCACCATTACTCCCTGTACTTGAACTTTGCACAAAACTAAGCCTCAGAAGGAATGTCTGAAATCCAAGTTTCAGTGCCCACAGACTATAATACCAATACATTACAACAATAATTTTAAATAATACATTTGGTTAGTCTGAGGAATGTCATAAATGACTAACTAAGCCCACCCAGAGAAGAGAAGTATAAGAGCCAAATGACTGAGCACATGGCTCAGGAGAACAACCATGAGCAGTTGGGTGATAAATTTATTGCCGTTCTGGAGCCATGACAACAGACACAACTGGGAGGATGGTTCCCAAGAGAAGAAGATCCATTTATACATGTTGATTAAACACCTATTATGAGCCAGGCAAGGTACAAACACTGAAGATATGACAGAGAACAACAAACTCCCTGCCCTGATGGGGCTTACATCAGAGTGAGGGAGATGGGCAATAAATTAAGTAGCAAATTAATAGCATGATGGAGGGTGAAGAGTGCTACAAAGAAAAATAAAGCAGGGAAGGCCATTAAAGTCGGGCAAGTGGTCATGATTCTAAACCAGATGTTCAGGGAAGGCCTGATGACTCTGAAAAGAAAAAGTGGGGGTGAAGAAGTGAGACATGCAGGTATCTTGGGGAACAGTACCAGGCAGAGGAAACAGTATGTGCAAAGGCCCTGAGGTAGCAGTGTGCTTGGCATGTTTGGGGACCAGCAAGGTGGAGTCCGAGTGGAGTGAGTGAGGGGGGAGTGGTAGAGGAGGTTGGAGAGTTCATGAGGGAGATCACGCAGGGCCTTGGAGGCCATCATCAGGACTTCAGCTTCTACTCTGTGTGAGATGGGAAGCCACCTAGGGCTGTAAAAGATGAAACCATGAAAGCCATGACAGCAGACCTAACCATGTAGAGAGATTGAGTGTATTTCAGAGGAGAGGTGTGTTCAAAGTCACTGAAAAAGGGTAGTGGTGGAGAGGAGTCTGCATTAGATTCAGGTACTGAAATATGAACCAGGGTAGATTCAAGAGAGCTTTGTCCCACCCACATACCTAGCAAGAGGCTGCACGGATTTAGAAAGCTCAGCCATACAAGTTTTCAAAGTCTTCCCAGATGGCAGGTTTACTCTAGGGTAACGTTAGGGAACTTCTCAATTTGGAAGAGATTTACTAGTTAAGAAAGTAAACAATACAGACCCCCCCTCTTTCCCTTTATGACATAATCAATAGGCATTGGGGGGGGGGTAATTGCTTTGTAGGACCTACATGAAGGCAAAAGCAAAGGCTTCCTCTCAAAGAAAAAAGGCAATTTATATTTCTCTCAGACATTTGCTCTGACAACTATAAGCACTTGTGTAAAACATTTTGTCAGTCAAGGAAAACTAACAGTTGCTGCTTATATAGTTCTTTTCCATTTCTTATTATGGACTATATACAAAAAAAGTAAAACATTTCCAACTAGAGAGCTAGTATATGTACCAACGGAAATTCCCATTAAGGGCCAGCAACCATTATAGGATTCAAATGAAGTGAGCAAAGTCTGTAGAATTCCTTGAGACCAAAACCATTTTGCTGCAAAAGTATGGAGAGTAACTTTAATAGGATTAGTTTTTTCCACAACTACTTGTCATAAAATGAGGTGTTTTGTACCTATATCAATGGAATAGTGAGGTTACAGGTCAGAATTTTGTGATTGATGTACTTTTCTGTGTTTATGTAATACTTCAATAAAAGGCTGAAAAAACCAAAGAGGCAAATAGAAGACACATGCATTTTCAAATGAGATATATCTATATGTACACCATGTATGTATTTTAATTTTTCTCTTTTGCACTCAATATTTAATACACAAGGGCAGGGGAAAAAAACACCCAAGCACATTATGGCAGTTTGTCTTCACTAATGGCTGCTAACTCTATTATCAATGAGAAGAAGGTTGCTTCACTGTTAAATAGACAAGTTTACTGGCTTAGGCTTGTATTATGGACTGAGTGTGCCCCTGCAAATTCATCTGTTGGAACCTTATCCCCCAATGTGATGGTATTTAGAGGTGGGGCCTTTGGGAGGTAATTAGGTCATGAGGGTGGAGCTCTCATGACAGGATTACTACCCTTATAAGAAGAGACAGGAGAGAGCTCCCAGTCTCTCTCTCAGTCATGTGAGGACAGAGCAAGACCACCATTTGAAAACTAGGAAGTGGGTTCTCACCAGAACTCTACCATGCTGGGACTCTCATCTCAGATCTCCTAGCCTCTAGAACTGTGAGAAATAAATTTCTGTTAAGTCACCCAGTCTATGGTGTTCTGTTACAGCATCTCAAGCAGACTAAGACAACCTGAGATATCATTCATGACTATTTCTTTCTTTATACCTTTACTGAGGTATAACTGTTATACAAAGAAATGTACATATTTAATATGCATAAAGATGAGTTTGGATGTAGGCAAACACCCATGACACCTTCACCACAATCAAAGAAATAGACATATCTATCACCCCTTAAAGTGTCCTTGTGCCCCTTGGTTTTTGTTCTTATTTGTGTGTGTGTGTGTGTGTGTGGTAAGAACACATAACATGGGATTTACCCTCTTAAATTTTGAAGGGCACAATACGATATTGTTAACTACAGGCACTAAGTTGTACAGCAGATGATGACTGATGTACTTTTCTGTGTATATGTAATATACATTGTAATGTATTCACATAGTGTAACTCAAACTTTATACCCACTGAACAATGGGAAATTGTTGTATCATTATTATTTCTGATAAGGAATTTCTAACATGATTCTCTGCTTATTGTCCAATGTTGCATTTTATTTTTCTAAGGTTTTGCTTATTTTCACCTGATTAGTTTTCCACATACTTGTTTCCAGGGGGAAAAATCTTTCTTTGCCAAGTTATTATGGCAGAACTCTCTCCACACTCCATGAAAACATGTACATAGCAAATAGATCTATCTAATGAACTTGTCAAAGGTGCTACATCTTTTTATTACTACAAAATATTTTATCAAAGCAAAAAGCTGGTGAAGTACTTTAGACACACAGAGATGAAAATATAGTTGTTATCACAAAACACCAGGCCTGGTCCAGCATTTCTGTAATCTCTTTAATGGGTAATTAAATTAAAATGTTTCCTCTCCTATATGGTTGGTGTGAGTAAAATTGGAAAGGTACATATTTGACAGCTGCTACTGAATTTAAAACATGTTTAGTCCTGAATCCAACAGGACCATTTCTGGGAATCCCTGCTCTGGAAATAGCTACATGAGCATAGTAGGGTGTAACCACCAGAATGTGCACCAGCACAGCTACTATTGGCTAGAGAGCAAAACAGACCTAAATGTGCATCGGCGGGAAAATGGTAAAATAAATTATGGTTTATCCATATTCAGAAATGCACCACATGATACAGGAATATCGGGAATATTACATTAAGAAATCAGGTGGATCTGTGTGTGCTACATAAAAATTGTTCATGTGTATGAATCAGTTAAAAAGAGCACGTTGCAAAACAATGAATATATACTGTATGATCTCACTTTAATAATGCTTTTCTCTCTTATATATTACAATATATATAACATATGTATGTATACACACATCATACACATATAAATGAGTTTAGAAAAAAGGTATAGACAGATAGCCACCAAATCACTGAGGATGGGAATGGAGAATAGGTTTAGGAGATTTGTAGGGAGGGACTTTCCCTTTATTCCTTATCTACTTCCTCATGGTTTAACTGTCTTTTTCAACAAGCCTGTATTCATTTATATATATATACATGCATACACATTCATACATACACAATCATATATAATATAAACATATGTAATGGAAAAACCTGCCTTTCTTTCGTCTGTGGTTATACTCTCTCATCTATTCCTATAACTCAGAAGTTAGGCTCAGCTGCCTGATTTTTCAAGTACAACATAGACTCCTATACTTGAGAATTAAATCTTTGACTAAATCATACAGAATAAAGAAAATGCTGTTGGTGATCTTTTTTCTTACCATTTCCGTGGGTGAGACATGCCACAGAGAAACCGTCCTCTCCTCAGCATCATTGTTTATAGAGACATATGAAGGCTGGTAGACTTTTGTTGGTTCTATCACCAGAACCTAGAAGAAGAACGGATTTCTGTAATGCACAGGAATAGGAAGGGGAAAGCTGTGCACTTCACAAACACTCATGAAGGACCTGTACAGTGTGCCAACCCTGTTGTAGGACCAATGGACACAGTGGCCCATAACAGAAGCCCCTGCCCTCAGGAGGTCTTTGTTCTGATGGTGCAGATGGAGGAACAAACAGATAGGGATATGCAATATGGTATCATATAGAAATCTGAAGAAATAAGGCAGGATAAATATGAGAGTTGGATGGAGGGGGAACATTTTTAGATAGGGTAGTCAAGAAAGGCCCACTCAGGGAGGTGACAAAAAAAAGAGGGATGCTGCAGTTTTCGAGAGAAATGAGGAAGTAAACTGAATGATCACAGGTAGGTACCAATTCTAAAAAATGCAAGGGGATGAAAAGTGAGGTGACATCAGTCAGGTTTTATTTTGTTGGGGTAGAGAGAGGGAGGAAGGAGGGGGCGGGGCAGTACAGGAACGAGATAAAGAGAGGATGAATTTCCAAAGCAAATAAAGTAGTATGTTTAAGATTGCTGAGCCTGGGTAGAGATTACCTCAGTGTCTGTTCCGTTATTTTTTTCTACCTTCCAGTAGGTCTGAAATATTTTATAATTTAAAGAAGATTTTAAAACTTATTGCCCAGGAACAAAATTATTATGATAATCATTTCAAATAACTTAATCTTTTATTAGCTGGTTAATGAGATTTTTGAATGCTACATGTTCACAAAATGTTCATGGCATAAATATGAAACACAATTATCTGAAGTTCAGTTTCCAGAATGCTTAGGTATCTATTTATGCCTCCTTAAGATGGTCATAAAACTGCAACAAAAAATAAAAAGATAAAAGCAATTTTGCTTTTCAATAAAGTTTTTTGTTTTTTTTTTAAATTGTGGCACTAGAGGCAAACCAAAACTCAAAAGGAAACAGCTTTGAATTCCAAAATTTCACTATTAGTACTGCACTGTTCTAGAGCAGGGTTTCTCCACCTTGGCACTACTGACATTTTGGGCTAGGTAATTCTGTGTGTGGGGAGGTGGGACTGTCCTGTGCACTGTGGGATGTTTAGTGGCATCCATGGCCTCCACCCATGAGCTGCCAGTTACACCACCTTCCCCATAATTGTGACAACCAAAAATGTCTCCAGACATTATCAAATGTCCTCGGGAGACAAAAATCACTCTATTTTAGAAAATACAGTATTTATTGAAAAAAATCTACATCTAACTGGACCCTCACAGTTCAAACCCATGTTGTTCAAGGGTCAACTGTATATCCACTTTTTCTAGTAAGTTGATCTATCACTGGTTGATTCCACATAAAATTGATGAATAGCTTAACATTTTAAATTACTATAAGGTGTTTGTTTTTTTTCCTTTCAGAGTATTCAATAATTAGCACCAATCTTCAGTTTCTTTTTACTTTTATCTTTAAAGAAACAAATTTAGCCTGGCCAGCATGGGTCAGTGGTTGAGCGTCGACCCATGAACCAGGAGATCATTGTTCAATTCCCAGTCACAGCACATGCCTGGGTTGCACGCTTGATCCCCAGTAGGGGGCGTGCAGGAAGCAGCCAATCAAGGACTCTCATCACTGATATTTCTATCTTTCTCTCCCTCTCCCTTCCTCTCTCTGAAATCAATAAAAACATACTTTCTTAAAAAAGAAAAATTTAGCATATCTTACTGGAAATCTGAGTCCATTAGCAACTTCCTTTGCTGCCTCGAAAATTATATCTAACCAGAAGTTAAGCTGTTCTCGCTTGGATGACTGTTCAATAATGGGTTTCTTGAAGCGCAGAATTAAAAATAAATTCTGGACTAATGATCGCAGGTACCTGGAAAAATCATAAGCACCAATTAATTAGATTCCCAAAGAAACTGAGTTCAATTCTACTCCCTGTAAAAGAAATTTCCTGAAAGCTTTTTACTTAAATTCATATTGTGTAGTGAGTGCTTCTTAATCATTTGTCAGCCATATACTTAATTAAATGAAACCCAAACAGTAGGCAAAATAAGACTGCTCAACAAAATCATATAACATGACTTTTTAACAACATTGATCTAACCTCAATTTTGGTACACAGTGTTCAAAAGCAGACTGGCAAGCATTTGCTGCCTTAAATAACAAGAGCAAGTAGTCTGAAGTTCAAAGCACTTGCAAAATGACAAAATTTCAAACTCATCGTCTTTTTCTTTTTTAATTCAACTTTTTATTTTGAGGTAATTGTAGATTTACATAAGAAACAATACTGAGAGATCCCATGCACCCTTGCCTTTGCCTGGTTTACTCCACCCCAAAGGTAACATCTCACTAGATTCTAAAACAATATAACTATCAGGATATTGACCTTGATACAGTCATGACAGAGAACATTTTCACTGCCACAAGGATCCCTCTTGTGTCCCTTCTATAGCCAACGCCTACTTCCTTCTCATCCCCAACTCTTCCTGGATCCCTGGCAATCACTAATATAAAATTTATTGCCTTTTCTTTTTTAAAAAAATTAGATCTGAGCAGGTAGATTTTTGATGTTATGAGATCTTGGATCTGACCACACCTTTACTGTCCTCAGGCAAGTTGACCTTTTTGAAACATAGTTGCTAGGCAGTAGAGGTCACATTTTCTGTGGCACTAAACAGGGATGGTTCAGGTGAAAGCATCAGAGTATTACTTTGCCCTTTGAGGTCTTGGACCTACAACAATAGGTATCAACACTATAAGTCAGCCCAAGCACTGATGTAATGAGAATATATTAAAGCCTCAGGCCTTTGAGGATAAAGTCTAGAGGTATCCTGGGAAGACAGATCAGTTAGACTCTGAATGACTTGCTTGGATAGTGTGCAGTACAGGATTAACTCAGCTGGCCTAAGTTGTCCAAACTCTACACATTCCAAAGAAAGATCTGGCCCTAGACTGGTTTCTGGAAAATCACCCTTAAGCCCTTGGGATAGCCTACCTGATAAGAGTGATTTTGTTAACCTGGAGCTGTGGGCCATGCCAGATAGTTTATACTAACAATATGACTCATGGTGGGTCTTGGGCAATGCTGTATCAGTGTGATCTCAAGAGAGATTGGGGACTCAGTCACTAAGGTCAGTCATATAGGTATTCCATGTCTACATGACTGATCCTCAATAAAAATCCAGGACACCAATACTTGGTGAGCTTCCCTGGTTGGCAATACTTTGGGCATGCTGTCATTCACTGTTGCTGAGAAAATTAAATACTGTCCATACGACTCCACAGAGAGAGGATAACTGGAAGCTTGTGCCTGGTCTCCATGGACTCTGCCCTGTGTGCCTTTTGCCTTTACCAATCTGAATCTGTATATTTCTACTATAATACCATGAATATAATAGCTTTTCTGACTTCTGTGAATCCTTCTAGCAAATCATGAACCTGAGGGTGGTCTTGGATCTACAACAATAGGTATCAACACTGTAAGTCAGCCCAAGCACTGATGTAATGAGAATATATTCAAGCCTCAGGCCTACTTTCCATGGAGTCAGCTAAAATCAGTATTCTGGAACATCAGCCACTCAGGGAGGGCTAGAGAGCGCCTGCCTCCGTATTCTCAGCCTCAGAGAACTTTCTAGAGGTTGATATGGTTTGGGGACCATATTTAAGTCCTTCAGACTGGGAAGAAACGGGGTCAAACTAGGTATGACTGAAGAGATTCTTACAGCCAGGAGTCCAGATTGACCCACTGAGCTAAGAAATAAGAGGGGGACGATCAACAGATTGTTAAAAGTAAAAATTTGTAAATTATGCAAGTAATCCAAATGCATTTTCAACAAATCAGATAAGGAAAAAACAGATTAAAAACTTATAAAGTTAGCCCTGGCTGGGTGGCTCAGTTGGTTGGAGCATCAATTCGTGCACCAAAAGGCTATGGGTTCCATTCCTAGTCAGGGCACATACGTAGGTTGTGGGTTCAATCCCCAGTCAGGGTGCGTACAGGAGGCAACTGATTGATGTTTCTCTCCCATATCAATGCTTCTCTTTCTCCCTTTCTCTCTCTCTCTAAAATCAACAAACATGTCCTCAGGTGAGGATAAAAAATTAAAACAAAAAAACAACAAACAACTAAAAACTTATAAGGCTACCGCCCTGAGACAACCATCAATATTTTAGAGAAAATCCATCATTCATCATTTATTCATTATAACAAATATCTACTGAGCATCTACTATGGAATGCTAGCAATCAATAAGATAACCACAATTCTAAGGGAGCTTAATGACTATTGGGAAAGTCAGGTATAGCCCAACCCATCCAGACCCTTTTCTGAGTCACACACCAAACACATATTTTTAATTAAAATGAGTCCTTACAGAACAGTGATTCTCCAAGTGTCCCCAGACCATCAGCATCACCTTGTAATTTGTAAATGCAAATTCTTAGGCCCCACCATAGACCGTGTGAACCAGAAATCCTAAGGGTGAGCCCAGCAATCTGTTTAATCAATACGGGTGATTCTGATACATGCCAAAGTTTGAGAGCCACTCATGTAGAAAAGTATATCCCACAGCTAGCTGGCCTTTCTTATTCTATGATAAACCATAAACACATTTCCATGTCTCCAAGTACTGCTTCTTGCACATTTTAATGGCTATATAACCTAGGCCTAGGCCACATTTTCTCAACCATATATCTATTATTGGTCTTTTAGTTTCGGTTTTCATTTGTGATAAACAGCATTTTCTTGCTGTGTTTTTCAGCTTTATGATCTGCTTTCTCACAAATGCAAAATACATATTAGTACCAAAGAAAGTTTTGCTCCTGAGGACCTGGATGACCCGAGGGAATTAATAGGACTGTGTGTTTCATCTTGTAGATACAGCATGTAGGGATATATTTTGTGTGTGCATGCATCTGGCTTTCCCTCCCTTCATATAAAACCAAGAGATCCCTCAGAGTTGTTCTTTCTGCCCTAACTTTGCTATAATGAAGTCGGAAGGAAGGACACAGTGCTTGCTATCGTTTTTTGCATTTACTCATTTTCTCCCTGGCAGAAACATTTCAGGGCATGATCTGATATTGAGAAGGGTAATGATAACACACAGACATGACTCACCAGACTGGAGGCTTCAGACTGAACAACCTCTCTGCTGCTTGGATGGACTTCCCCACGTTGCTAGCCAACATGCTGACGTTGAAGAACTGACCTACATCCCAGTAATTGTTCATGTTCTCCAAGCACCCTTTTTTCCCCAACAAACTGTTCAGCTGGATACCTTAAGAATATGAATTTTAGATAAAGTTATAAAAATGTTTCTAGTTTCTATTATATTATGCAAGCCTTTAGATTAAGGGCGAGGAACATCTGTCCCTTGGGCCGTATACGGCCCGCAAAATCATTTGGTCTGGCCCTGCCAAGGCAACCACAGGCGGGACTTGAAATTCAATAAATCTAGGAGCTTTTTTCACAGCTTATTTTTAAGTTGATAATTTTGTATGGCCCTGGAATGATGTTATAAATATCCAAATGGCCCTTGGCAGACAACAGGTTCCCCACCCCTTCTTTAGAGAGTAGAAAAATGGGCATTTTATTTTGGCCACTGTCTCAGGTGTGCCATCAAAGAGTAATTCTTCCTTCTGAAATATAATTCTAGTTTTGTGAACATAATTTTTAATGCTGAACTTGTATTACCAAAGCATCAACATTTATAATAATAAGTAGCTTTACCTATTTTCCTTAGTTCCATGGATGTTTCAAATTGTTGTCCAGTAACTACCAGCAAAATTGCAAGGTTAATTCCAGAATAAAGAGATGATTGCAGCTCAAACCCTTTGCGATACCTACAATCACAGAACCATGCAGTTCTTATTTTATCATCTTATTATGGGAGAAAAAAATGTGTAAATAATGGTAGAAACCAACCTTCTTGTGAAAATTTGTAATACTCTAATTTATTGGTTTCCAGCTTTCCCTCCCAATCTTTATAAACGGCTACATGCAGCAGTCAAATATCTCTTAAAAATGTCATAGAAGCAACACAGTAACTTACACTAGGGAGTTTAAAATTTTTTCATCAGGTTTAAAAAACACACACAAAAAACCCCATGACCATTATATAAAATAAGGAAACTATATTAAAGTGTACGAAAGAAATGTAAAACCTCTTATAAACCTACCCTCAAAAGGAGACCACAATTTGATGTCCAAATCTCATTTTTAGAGTTAGACTCCATTCGTATGTGCAGCATTTTTTATTACATAGAAATTGCATCAATTATAGGCTATTTCTCTGCAGACCATTTGTTTGCTTATATCACAAAATGGAATCATTTTTTCATGTATGAAGCAGTATTGCCAGAATCTTGGAGCTCAAAGAACTATAAGAGCAGTGGCATAAAGTGACAGAAGAGGCAGGGATCTATTACATTAGGATGAAGATATGAAACTACGAATACCATTTTTATACCAAAAAGTTAACAGTGCCATTTTTAATTCTCTTATTTATTCTATACACAAAAAGCTTCTTTCTCTTCCATGAGTGACTGAGTACCATGATCAAGAAAAAGAATCTGATCAGTAAAGTATGCCAAACACTTCTAAAACAGAAGTTGTTTTGTCACTTGTGTGACAAGAGAGTTAAACACTAACAAAATATTAATTGTGGAAGTGAGAACTTATTTAAGGCCATTAAAATCTGGTTTTATAAACTTTGGGGCATAATATAAGTACCCTCAGATAGACCAGAGGACACCAAGATAGTCCTTCCAACCCCAGCCAACAAAATTCCAATAAAACTGAAATCTCATCATCCACCCGTATGTTTTGAGTATTTTAAATTCCATATCCTACTGTATTTGATTTTTTTCATTTTCTTCTATGAAAAGTTATCTGGGAAGAAGGAAGACAGGGTGACTTCTTTACACTTCTGCAATAAATCAAACAGGCGTGGCTTGGGGGCAGTTAAGACTTGAACCTGGAGTCAGCATTACAGTCCCAAGTTTGTCTCTGACCAGCCCTGTGACTTTGGACCAGCCCCCGACCTCCCTGAGCCACATGTTTCACATCTGTACCTGAGGGCCTGGGTTAGACTATCCCTAAGGTTTCACTTGAGCTAAGATGCCCTGACCAGAAGACTATTCTTCATTTGCTTCTGTACCCACTGCTACTACCTTCTGAAGTGGATGGAGAAAGGCTCCTTTGACTTTCTTGAAGGAGCCACAGGTAGTAATTTCCTGGCCTGGGGTTTGAATTCTTGTCCACCATGGAGGGAGTATAGCTTCCTATTTTGGCTCTAAGAAATGTTAACTTCCCTTCCTTACCCTTTCCTTCCACACCCGAGTGATTCCTCTCTGCCATATAGTACATTAGGTACTACTGAGGATGAACTAAGAATAACCCAAGGTCCCTGTCCTATAAGAACCTATACTATGGTAAAGATGATAAGATCTACACACAATTAGTGAAAATACAAGTGTGAATGTCATAAATATCCTAAAACCACACAAATGGAAAGTCTAGAGGGACTCACAGAAGACATATGGGGTCATCCTTAGAGACTTCAGAAATGGTATGAAGATGAATAGAATTATAATTATCAGATATCTGGAAAGGGAACCCCCAGAATAGAAAATGGTGGGAACAGAGATGGCAGTTTGGGGAGCTCCTAAGGAATTTTAATTTATTTGGACATATATCAGGCCACGGGAAATAGCACTAGAGGTGGGTTGGGGAACAAGCACCCAGAATGATGACCTAAGATTGAATTTTTATTTAATAGGGAATGGGGGGCCATGGTGGGGTCCTTGAGCTTTAGAGACACCAAAGATAAAGCCTATTTGGGATAGCGTTAGAACATTCCTAGCAAGAAAATAAAACAAAAAATGTGCTGATTAAGGGTGGTGGTGATGGAAGAGGACTGGCAGGGAGTGAGGACAGACTCACAGAAGGGTTATAATTGGGGATTGATTGTATGAGAAAATAAGTGAAACTCAGCAAACATCAATCAAAAGTTTAAGTCTAGGAGGCTGCAGGTGGTATGAAACCAAGACACTGAAAGCCATACCTTGTGGAGATCAGAAAATAACTTCAGCTTTGGACATGGTTAGTCTTAAATACCAGTACCATCTCAAGGTAGAAAAGGTGGGCAAAGAGGGGGAAATATGAGGCCACAGCTAAGGACAGAGGTTGAGCTACAGACTACCTAAGGGTCCCGGGATGTGGGACTGGCCGGGATCACCAGGGAAGAGCATGTGGACAGAGAGAAGAGGTTAGAGGACAGAGCCTCCAATGTGTATGGAAGGAGGACAGAGAGAGAGAAGCAGCAGTCATAATTAAATGAGAGCAGAACAGCAATGACAAGATCTCTTGTGATGGAAATGGATAATGTGAGCTGTTGGATCCACCTTCAAAAGAATCCAGGTTCTGACTTATCATTTTTGTCACTACCATCCTAGTTCAAGCCACCATCAGCTCTCTCCTGCATTATTTCAACAGTTTTCTGTCCCCTGCTTCTGCTCTTGCCCCTCTGCTAACTTGTTTAATGGCCACAAATTCCTCCCATCCCACTGTGCATGTGCTTTTGCAATATGACTGCCATTTCTCCCACCCACACGGACTCTATTTCTTTACCTCCTTAAATTTGGGATGGCCATGTGATTTGCTTTGACCAACTGCATGTGGTATAACTGACCTTGCATGAATTTGTGATGTAAGCCTCAAGAAGCTTTGCAGCTTCCACCTTTGCTCTCTTAGAATGCAGCCTACCATGTAAGAAAGCTGGTCTATCAGGATTAGAACCACATGACAGAGAATGAAGGCTCGCCACCAACACCCAGAACTAGCTGGCAAATGTGCATGAAGCCATCTTGGAGCTTCCAGCTCTGCTGACCCTCCAGCTGACTGCAACTTTAGGAGTGAGCCCAGCATTTTGGGAGTGGAGCCAGCAGAGGAACTGCCTGGCCAATGAACAGAATCATGAGAAATCATAAACCATGGTTTTAAGCCACTAAGCTTTGGAGTCATTACATAGCAAATGATAGCTGATACACTCCTTAAAATGTATTCTTTGCACAACAGTGAGAGTACTCCAGTTAAAATGCATGCCAGATCTTGTCATTCCTCTGCTCAGAACACTCCAATGTTGTATCATCTCCCTCAGAGTAAAAAGGTCATCTTCCCTCCCATCTCCTGCCACTCTCCACTTGCTCAAGCTTACCATCCTTGAGCCTGCCCAGCATGCTTTCTCCTCAGGGTCTTTGCCCTTGCTGTCCTCCTCCTCCTGGAACACTTTCTCCACAGTAAGGCTCATACCTCACCATCTTCACATCTTTATTCACTTACACTGACCACTCTACCTAAAACTGCAGACAACTCCTTCTAACCCTCTTTTCCCCCCCTCCCTGCTTAACTTTTCCCCAAAGCCCTCACTATCAACTCATGTCCTATATATTTTACTTTGTATGACTTCCCTTACCAGCAATGCAAGGCCCATCAGGGCAGGAATGTGCATTTGCTGTGTTTATCCTCACCATCTACAAAAGTTTCTGGAACACAGTAAACCCTCAATAAACCTTTGTTGAATGGATGGATGGATGGATGGATGGATGGATGGATGGATGGATGGATGGATAGCTCACTGAGAAGACAATTCCCTCACAGCAGTAGAACAATGTTCTAGAAGGAATAGCTGGGAAGGAGCATGCTGATCTTACTTCTTGCCCCGATAAATGAGTGAACTTGTTGGAAGAATATCACCAGTAAAAAACCCTGCTTCTAATGGTTTCCTTAGGGGAAAAGGAGTGTGGAAATTCCCAAACTACATTTATGGTATATTTTTTCACTGCCAGCAAACAGACACACATACATAGGAAAAAGATGTGGATTTTTAGCTACTGCAATTCTGTTCTTTGCAGAGATGCACATGCTACTGACTAGGGCTGAGGGTTTACCAGTCAATGGCACTGTCCCTGCTGACATTATCTTTGCAGTGTGAATCCAAAAAGATATCCTTGTAGATCCTTCCACACAGGTACAACATGTCGGGGGCTGGGTAGTCACAGCTCTGCACAACCTGCAGTATGATCTGCAGAGCCTTCTCACGGTCGCCTGTGCTGTTTCTCCTGAAAGATTCATGTAATAAGATCATGAATGTCTGAATCACGATACAGGAGTGTATATACATTCATTCTTTGAAGGGCTGGATGTAAGGATGCTATATTTTATCAGAAAAAATTCTAAATTATATTTCATTTTTCATATTCAAATCTAACAGCTGCTTAAGATCCACTCCAGTAAATTTCATACAATCATATTCAGTCCCTATTTGATCCTTTCTCTTTAAATGAAACTTTCACTGTGGATGAGAGCATAAGGTGATCAATGTATCTGGAAAGACAAAAATAATATGGCAGCCTCCTGTAACTGGATGGAGAGCAAGGATTTTAGAAGCTAAGCCTGAATCATGAGGATGAGACAGCTTGATAAAAGGTTCTGTGAAAAATGGCAGGGCCCCCAATTTCAAAGCCCAGATGAATTTAGAAATGTATCATGCCATTTCTTGACCTGAAATGCCTTGCCATCCTCAAACAGCAAAGGACCTTAGTGAGTCCTATTTTTCTATCTCATGTTACACCCACCAAAACAGGAAATTTCTATATTCATAAATCACACTCTTTATTATTAGATTAAATGGTATTTTTTTTTTCCAGAAAGAGTGGATGGGGAGCGTAGAGAGAGAAATATCAATGTGAGGGAGACACATCGATTGGCTGCCTCCCACCCATGCCCCGACCAGGGCCCCAGGGATCGAGCCTGAAACCGAGGTACATGCTCTTGGCCGGAATTGAACCTGGTACCCTTCAGTCTGCAGGGATGATGCTCTAACCGCTGAACAAAGCAGCCAGGGCTATATGGTAAAATTTTCACTTACACACAGGAAATGAGTTCCTTAGACAGTTGTCAAAATAATTCTTGCCACAAAATAACCTGTTTGTGGCTGTGAAATGTTAAAAGAGTTCCTGTGAAGATTTGAAAGCAAATGTCCATCAGTAGTTGGGACTGATTAAATCAACTATGGCTAATGATATTCATATTCACATTATAAAATATTAAACATTTGTAAAAATAAATGAAACAATATCTCTATAATACCGCTATGGAGAGATTTCCAGAATATGTTGTTAAGACAAGAAGGCAAGGTGATGAATACTGTTCAGAGAATGCTACCTTTTTACTTTAGGAAAGGGAGATGTGAATAAATATATGTACCTGATTTTATGTCTTCAACATGGAAGGATAAACCAAAAGGTAGTAAAAGTGGCTACTGATAGGTGGAGGGAGAAAACATGATGAAGGGGACAGGGACAGAGATTATACTTCCTGGAATTTGACTTTGAAACTACGTAAGTTTTTTACATAATTACAAAAGAAAATGAAATAAAAATTTAAAAACAGTGTTCCCTAAAAACACTGCTTGCCAACAAACATACCACCTGGTTGATGGCTTACCCACAAAAGAAAAACTAATTCATATGATTTTATAACACAGCAATTTGACTGTATTTTTCTATGAAATACAACCTAAGGAAAAAAAACAAACATAAATGCAAAGAAATCTCCAATAGTTTCTAGTAATCATATTGTTAGTAATAATACTGATAATGGTATTTTGAAAATGTATATTTTTAGATGAAATACAACAAATAATGATGTTAATATCACTAGGGGCCAGATTTTTCAGCATAAGAGTAACAAATATAAAATCAAAGAAGTTAAGAAAAATCTTCCAGTCCTAAATTTGAATTGGAACATCAGTATGAATTCATGGAGTGGTCTCCCTAGCTCTGTCTACTAAAAAGGTCCCAAACAATGACCAACGAGAATCTCCAAGCCCTGATTGGGGTCTGTAAATATCATCTCACTAAAAGGAATCAGGACTCCTTGGATGAATGGCTGGTTTCAAATATGTCTAAATGATCCTGGAACATCTTAACATACAAGAAAACAAAGAAGCTACTGAGCTCATAGCAACAAGACTCAAAAGCAAACTTGAATCAGTTTTTGGCAAAAAGGGGATGATTAGAGCACTAAGAAGAATAACAGACTTTGGGTGGTGAACATACAGTGCAATATACAAATGATGTATTAAAGAATTGTACGCTTGAAACTTACATAATCTTATTAATCAAAGTCACCCCAATAAATCCACTAAAATAAAAAGGAAGGGGAACTATAAAGGACTGAAACACACCAACTATATGAAAGTTAGTTCATAATGATCTTATAAAACCTCATTGGTCACCTTTGGAGGATGCTAAAGAACCAACTCATTGTTTTTGAGAACTGATCAAGGCAAAAATCAAGCACATAGCCTCTTTTCTCATACAAAGTGTATACCAGGGTAACCAAGTCATTGGTGAGGGGATATTTTTCTTTATGAAGTATTTGTGCTAATAATGCAGGAATTAAGTATAAAATTCAAATATCACTATTTTGCAACCTCTAATAAAATAATGGATCCAGACAATGATTTTCAAGGGCCACCAGCAACACAAAAAGAAAAAAAAAAAACACAGATAAAATACACAATCAACTATTAAGTATACCTTTTTAAAAATTAGACCAGAATCTGAAACAAGTGTCCAAATCTAACTACTAATTTACAGGGAAAAAAAGGAACAGAAGAATTCACTAATCTTGTCAGAGATATGTTCAGCAAAATCCAGACCTTTGGAACTCTACAGGACAAATGTTTCTTTAACATATAAATAAGAAAAAAGAAGGGGAAAAACTATATATTAAAAAAAAACCCTTATGAGTCATATTAACGAAATGCACAGTATAGACCTTGTCTACATCATGATTCAAACAAACCCACTGTGAAAAAATGAGACAACTGGGAGGAAATTTGAACACTGGTATTAAGGAATTATTGTTAATTTTTAGGTATGATAACATAATTGTAATTATGTTTTATAAAAGTGTCTTTAACCAGCCCTGGCCAGGTCGCTCAGATGGTTAGAGTGTTATCCCGATACACCAAGGTTGCAGGTTTGATCCCTGGTCGGGGCACATACAAGCAGCAACCAATAAATGCATAAATAAGTGGAACAAATCAATGTTTCTCTCTCTCTCCCTCACTCCCTCTCAAATCAATCAATAAAAAAAAATTAAAAGTGTCTTTAACCTTTAGAGACACATACTAAAACATCCACAGATAAAATGGCATGTTGTTGCTTAATAATAAATCCAGTGTTGGGGTATGAGGGATAGAGTGGAGGTGTGCAGGAAACCAAACTAACCATGCAATGATAAATTACTAAAGTAGACAAAGGGTTCCTGGCATTCCTGGTATTATTCCCTCCTTTTAAATATATCTGAAATTTATATAATAAAAAAGTAAGAGGACCCACCCTGACTCAACAATTCCACTTCCAGAGTTTATAATACAGAAATATTTATATATATTCAAGAATTTTTATACAAAGCTGTTTATTATGACATTGTTTGTAACAGTAAAAACTGAAGGTGATCCAAATGTCCATTAATTGAAGAATGGTGAAATACACAATTTTTTAAAAAAACAGGTGTATATATACATACATACATATATATATATATATATTTTAAATATGTTGTTTATTGATTCCAGAGCGAGGAAGGGAGAGGGAGAAAGAGATAGAAACATCAATGATGAGAAAGTCATTGTATTTTTTCTGACTGCATAGGTGGTCGGCACCGCAACTTGAGTTGTTCAAGGGTCAACTATATTTTCTAAAGCCAAACTATGGAGTATCATGCAACCCTTAGAAAGAGATAGATCCATATGTAATTATATAGAAGAATGTCCTTAACAGTTGTTCATGGCGGAAAATAACTGAACTAAATGAACAGTATGATCTCATTCTTTGTAGTAAACTCTATTTAAATTATATGTTTCTGTGCACAGACAAAGTCTGGAAGAATACACATTAAATATTCAAAAGATCATTGCTGAGATTTGTACAAAGTGTTCTTGTGTATATTTCACTAATAAATATTCTAATAAATGAATAAAGAGATTAATTACTCTTTCATTTCTTGGCAATTTTATAACAGGATCTTTTATGCTTTCTTTCCTGAGGATCTGTATATCAAAAAAAACCACTGCATCATCCAAGAAGACAGATTAGTACCTAGGACAGCCTTTCTCAACGGATTCTGCTAGAAAATTAAGCCCTAGAAAAGGTTACTTGATTGACTATTTTCTCCATTCTCTCAAAAATGGTACATAGTTAGCCCCATTCTGGATGCATATGAGGGTTCATTCAATTGATACAATGAATGCCTTAGGGCATTAGGGCTTAATTCTACTGTGAAACCCAACCTAGGTTGAGAAGGGCTAACTAATCTAGACATTTGATGCTCTTCTGGAAGCCTGAAATAATTAAGCCTGTATTTCAACTCTGACTTTTTCTGTTTTGTACCTTGGTCTTGTTCTAATATATTTAACCTTTTTTTCTCTTTGTTCATAGACTCCAATTTTACCAACCTGCAAACCAGACCTCTTGATAAACAGTCCACCCATGATATTCTTTAACCTACAGGAGCCAACAGATAACAACCCAACTCAAATTTACTAAAGCATTTAATTAATTTCTAGAGTTGGTGGTGAGAAAAAGAAAATTTTAATGAGGTACAAAATTTCTACATCTATTATGAGCCATCTTTAGAGGTGTGAACTATTCAGGATTCTGAAGACAATGTACTTAACTCTTTTAAATGCTTAATTATTAATATGATTTCAGGTTTGTTTGGTTTTGTTTGAACCAATTACATCAAGATTTTCCTTGAAATTTTTCATTAACTTGAAACTTACCCTGTCACTCAAAACAAAAGGTCTTGAGGATAAACAAAAGATCAAGCATTTGCAAAAAAAAAATAAAAAGATTTTCAGCTTAAAAGCCACTTTAAGACAGGTGCTATCCCTTTAGTGGTTAATAATCAGTTTTCAGATCTGCTTATCATTTTCAGATCCCAAAGTATCCAAGAAGAAGCCTATAGACAAAAACTCCTGTGTTGAGGGTCGGCCTAGGATCCAGGAGATCGAGGTTCGATTCCTGATCAGGGCACATGCCCAGGTTGCAGGCTCGATCCCCAGTTGGGGTCGTGTAGAAGGCAGTCGATCAATGACGAATCTCTCATCATTAATGTTTCTCTCTCTCTCTCTCTCCCTCTCCTTTCCTCTCTCTGAAATCAATAAAGATATATATTTTAAAAACACACCAAAAAACCCCTCTTGTGTTTAATCAGTCCAGCAACATCTGTTTCTGACAATAAGGCCATTTCATAATTTAAGAGATGGGAATGAACTAAGACAGGGCTGCATATGAGAATCTCCTGGGGAGCTTAAAAAATCCTGGTGTCCAGGCTACAGCTCAGACCAATTAAATCATAGTCTCTGGAGATGGAATCCAAGCATCAGTGTTTCTTATCCTGGACATTCTGATTCAGTAGGTCTGCATCATTGCTAAATCCACCAATCAATTCTCAGCCCTTATGTTATATGACCTACCAGCAGCATTTGACAATTGAGCACTCCTTCCTCCTTGAACCACCTTCTTCATTTGTCTTGGAGGATACCACACTTTCTTAATTTTCCTTCTATTTTTGTTTAATTTTCTGTTTCCTGTTCATCTCCCTGATCTTTTACCATTTGAGTGTGTGTATGCACAACCCTTGGATCTTTATTTATCAGTAACTACACTAGATCCCTTGGTGACAATCCAGTGTCATGATTTTTCAAACCATCTATATTTTAATGACTCCCAGTGCTCTCCACTAAACTTTAGACTGCCTTCTTGGCATCTAACCTGCATGTCCAATACCTCAAACTTAATCTGTCCAAAACCAAACTCTTGATTGTCCGATCAAACCTTTTTTCCATAGTCTTCTCCATCTTACTTAATAATGGCCAATCCATTATTCCTGTTATTCATGCTAAAAATTCTGGAGTCATGCTTTAGTCCTCCTTTATTAAATCAACAAATTCTGTTGGCTTTATTTCAAACCATACCCAAAATTGGCTTACTTCTCATGACTCCCACTGTCTACAAGATATTATCAACTCATTCATGTAAACGAGGTCCTTTCAAGACACAGTCTCGCCCTCCATGCTGAGCCTCACTGCATGCATTTGCTTCACTTGCAAGTTGTGTTCTGGTCACACTGACTGTTCCCTGAAGACATACTGCACATAAAGAACTCTATGCTCACTCTTGTGTTCTGGCCAAGTGGAATGGCCTTTTTACCACCCTATCCCACATTCTCTGCTGCCCATGAGGTAATTCTTACTAAGTCTTCAAATCTCTGTCCAAAGGACCCCAGAAAATGCCCAAGGAGAATGACTTCCTCCCTCTGCTATGTTTCCATAGCACTTTGGACAAATCTTCATTAAGACCTTTATTGCTCTGAGCTAGCGAGATTTAGTTACATGGCTGACCTCAAAGGTAGAATATATGTTCCCAAGACAAAGTCCCTGAAGACCAAGACCTTTCCCATTTTCATAACCTTGACATGAAGCACATGATCTGGCTCATACTCAATGAGTGCTGATTAAATGAAGAAAGCATAATTTAACAGGTGGTTTGTTTCAAAACTCTATATATACATTATCATTCTTACCTATTCAGTGCAAATGCGTAGTGGAATTTAATATTATGTTGGTCAGTCAAGTCATATGTAGGCAGCATTTCCAGTGTTTCTACCAGCTTCAACATTGCATCGTAGTCCTGTTGGCAAGAGGTTCCAAGGTGAGAGAGAGAAAACACAGATCTTCATATATTTTTCTGAACAATTATAAACACGAGACAGCCTAAGCATTTAAATATAAGCCCTTCCCTACAGACAGCATTTAGTGAGGTTACTTATAGCCCAGTAGCCAGGAAAAAAGCTACCGTGTTTTGAGTGCAGGAGAGCTACAACCACCAGCACAGCTGTAGGTTAAAATGAGCTGGACATAAGCATACAAGAAATCTTGCAGTCACTTGCCACATAAAGGGAACAAACACCACAGTCCTTTCTATTTTACTAGAAACAAATAAATTAATCTAAACCAGGGTTTCTCAGCCTTGGTACCACTGACATTTTTGGGCTGGATCATTCTTTTTTATAGGGCGCTGTCCTGTGCACTGTGGGATGTTAAGCAGCATCCCTGGCCTCTACCTATGAGATGCCAGGAGCACTGCTCCCGAAATGTGACAACCCAAAATGCCTCCAGACACTGCTACATGTCCCACAGTTGAGAACCACTGCCCTAAACTGCATAATTACCTAGGGAAAAATTGCTACCATGTTTGTCTCAGCTGGGTCTCCTCTGAGCAGTGCCATCTGCTACCCTTTCAGTCAGGCTTATAATCAGTTACTGGCCAACTTGCTGACAGCCAGACACAGTTAGCACAGAACTTGCCACCAGCATCCTATGCCTATTTTGTGGCTCTGTACCTGGATACAGCTGTCCAAGGAAAGTGTATCCCAAGAAGCTTCTGGCTCACCTTTATACCTGAGAGCCCCACTAATGTATGATTATAAAGAGATGTCTGAAGGCAAGGACAGGAGGAATGCAGCAGTTCAGGAAGAAAGACTTCAAAAAAGGTCACTCCCATTTTCTTGTCCCACGGGGCATAATTTAATCATTGTTAAAATCCTATTAAAATCTATTAGATGCATCTGTTTATCACTAGGGGCATGAGTTCCTTAGTGGCTGATTCTGTTCTTGGTTCAGGTCCTAAATGGATGCCTTTCTCGTTTAGATTTGAAGTCCTCTAGCCAACAATCTCCACTATGGCTTTGTGGAATTATGCGGATAAGGTACATTGCCTTTGTACATTCCTCCAAAGGGGAGTAAGGCAAGACATCCTTAGAAATGGCTCAACAGCATTAAACTTGGAGGGAGGGCACGCCCAATTTCCTTCATGGTACTGCATCCCACAGACCCTGTCTCGGGAACTCTCGAGAAGTCTTTGACACTTGTCTTAGAATAAACATCTTCATTCCCTGGGCCCTGAATATGGGTCTGCTACTCCTGCTCTCCCTGTCACTGATGAGTGGTGGTAAACAAAGAAGAAATCGACAAAGGCCTAAAGGAAGCAGCATAACAGAGGAGTTAAGAGCAAGGACAATGGAGCCAGTTGCCTCAATTTGAACCTTGACTTTGCCAACGGCTGTGTGACCTTGGGCAAGTTACTTAACTTCTCTGTGCCTCATGTTCCTCATTTGTAAAAGGGGGATAATCAGAGTATTCAACCCATAGGCTTGTAATGAATATTAAATAACAGGATTCACAAAGGGCTTGGAGCAATGCCTAGCATAAAGCGCATATAAACTGCTAAATTCTGTATTTCTTTTAGTGAGCAGTACCATATGAGATTTTGTTGGAGTGACTGTCAGATATGACAAAACCTTCTCCATTATTTCCACAACAGATATAGTAGGTGACCTATGACCTAGCCACATACCTATTCTGTCTATAAAACAGCTACCTAACTGTGCACCTAGTATAAGAGTACTTCACATGAGGAATTCCTCATGCCAAGGAAGAACTCAGCATGTGTTAGCTTCAGGTAAGCATATATTTCATACCTGGGTATCATGGTAGGACAGCAGTAAATTAATGACGATGTTTGAAGTCAGAATCTTGGTATTATCTATGCGGAGTTTGATCCGAGCCAGCTCCTTTGCCAGTTCATTGCCCTCGTATTTCTCTCTGGCTCTCTGGATGTCATTTAACAAAGTTTCTTTGTAATAAACACTGGAGAGGGAAACATGAAAATGTCAGGTTGCATCTCCATGCATCCAGGCAGAACTTATAACGACCACAGAGTGATTTAAATTTGTTGTCCACTTTCCAAGTAATTTTTTTTAATCCTCACCTGAGGATATTTTTCCCATTGATTTTTAGAGAGAGTAGAAGGGAGGGAGGAGTGGGAATGAGAGAGAAAGGGTAACAATGATATGAGAAAGGCACATCGATTGGTTGCCTCCTGCATGTGCCCCGACTGGGGCCAGGGATAGAACCTGAAACTGAGGTACGTGCCCTTTATGGGAAATTGAACCTGCAACCCTTTGGTCTGTGGGCCAATGCTCTAACCACTGAGCAAAACTGGCCAGGACCAAGTAATTTTTAATGGAGACTGGGCATTGTCAAGTGGTAATACTGTCAACCCATTAAGTAGCTGAAATGACTTAACTAGAGAAGAGTAAAATTACGCTGTTCATTAAAAAAAAAAAAAAAAAAAAAAAAGAGTAAGCTCAAATAATAGTCTTCAGAAAAAGAGAAACACATAAGAATAAAAACAACTGTTACTTACTTTTAATAATTATAAAACTATGCCAAATAAATGTGTATACAATACACAGCCTGGCCCAATGTTTATAAAAGGAATTCAAGAACACCTAAAGAATGAAGAGATGCCCCACAGAAAGCACTCTGATATAAAAATATCAGTGTGGCCCTGGCCTGTGTGGCTCAGTGGCTAGAGTGTTGGCCCCTTGCACCAAAGGGTCATGGGTTCGATTTCCGGTCAAGGGCACATACCTGGGTTTCAGGTCCGATCTCTGGCCCCAGTTGGGGGGTGTGTAGGAGGCAACCAATTGATGTGTCTCTCTCACATCAATGTTTCCGTTTCTCTCTCTCTCTCCCCCTCCACTCCCTACCTCCCTTCCACTCTCTCTAAAAATCAATGAAAAAATATCCTCGGTTGAGAATTAACAAAAAGCATATATGTATATATATATTTATCAGTGCTTTGCTTTAATATTTTATTTTCTTATTTGTCTATTGCTTATGGTCCCAATAAGCAAATTAGCAGATTCTATCAGTGTTTAAAATTCTATTATTGAGCATAAAAGTCTATTATTAATCTAATGAGTCATTAACTTGGATGACAGTCATTATTCATTTGGTGGACTATAAACACATCAAAGCTATTAAGGCATTACTAGTTTACCCTGACAAGTAAAATGTTATACTTCAGTCTTCTTTTCAAGAGTAATTCTGAAAAATAGTTTTAATAAACTAAGAAACCTAGTAAGAACAGTAACTTATAAGCAAATAAAACACCAAATTGAGTATGGCTTGAGGACATCATATATGTAATAAGCATGCGGCCATTTCTACCTCTGGGAACCAGGGATGTTGCTAATTAATGTGAACTTGGAAATGGCTTCCAACCTCTTTTCAGCACAGGGCTCCAGGCAGCCTTTACCAATTAAGAGTTGGCACTTGAGCTAAAAAATCCGCCATCCTCATTATAGATGTGTTTAAACCATTAGCACCATTTACCCTCTCACTAACCATTGCCAGGTATCTGCCAGTTCAAGGTGTGGAATCAACCAGCAGGTATTTCAAGTCCTTTGAAATGAAACTAAATCAAGAGTTGTTTTCCTACTGATACATATAGACACTGAATGAGAAACAAAGTTGAGTCCACTTTTTGAAAAGACCCTGCTCATCTGGCAGATGCAAGCTAGCCTACCTCTTTGTCAGACCTGAAAAGATGATACTGGGAGAGCTTTCTAAACTTCACTAAAATATTCATTGTGCAATAAGACAATAGTTAGCAAGGTATGATTGAATGAGGCTTTCCAGGAATGTGCCACAGAAGTTTCCCATTTGCTTTCTATGTTGGCATGTGGTCACATATGTCTGAGTTTCCAGTATTCTTTTCTTTAAATTTTCATTTATTAAAGAGAGAGAGAGAGAAAGGGGGGGGGAGGGGGACATAGATTTCATTGCTCCACCCATTCATGGATTCATTGGTTGCTTCTTGCATGTGCCCTGACCCAGGATCAAACCCACAAGCTTGTTGCATCGAACAAAAATCCAACCAAATGAACTACCCAGCCAGGGCTCCAGTCTTCTTTTCCCATAAAGTCTGTAGGAGATACTCTGTGTCCAGAAAAGAGGTAATGAGGTAGAAAAAGAGAACAGACTATTCACTAGTGTGTGCCTCACACCAGTACTCTATAGTAATGCTCCACAGTTCAGGGAGCCATGATCTGAGCCAAAGTGGGACATGCAGCCCTTTACATTTTATTTTAAGTCTGTTCAGCAAGTGCTTTGGATTTTCATTTGTTTTGGAAGGACAAATCCTTCTCCTTGTGACATAACTTATAGGAATAAATCCTTTAAATTGGCTGCAAGCAAAATAAGTGGATCCTTTGATTAAGCAGAATCGTTCTTCTGCCTTCGAGTTTTAGAAGAACATTTTAAGACATGGTTTCTTGAGCACTGAAGCACAAACAAGTGAACTTTTACAAGGCTACACAGCAAGGAATAGCCTGAGCCAGGATTCAAACCCAAACCTGTCTATCTCTGAATCAGTATTCCCCACCTTCTCCAACATCAACCTACAAAGAACATGTCACAGGACCTCCTGAGGTCAGGCTGGCTTCAGCTGAACTTAGCACATCCCAACTTTTATAGCACAAGAGCTTGCAGTCGGAATGGCCTTGCTGAGGCATTTTAACAACCTCAGTAACTGATTGGGGTGGGAGGGGGGAGGAAATCACCTTCAGAAATGATCTTAAATCACAGAATCTCACAGTATTAAAAAAAAAATCAGGGACTTAACTTCCTTATCATCTACATGAGAAAATGGTTACAGAGAAGTTATCAAGGTCACGCAGAGAGTTGAGGCCAGACACAGGTTCAACTCTGACCTCCTATTCTCTTTTGGCTATACCTCAATGGCTCAACTCAGTGATGTAGTAAGGAAGAACAATGGATTCCTACATGACTTAAAAATGATTTGTAGGGGGTTCCCCATTCTTCAGGCACTATGGTCTTTTGAGGGTGTATGGCCTCCATGAACATAAAGGGAAGACTGTGGCAAACCTCCCAAGGTTGTTAAAGGCTGAGGGGAGTTACCATGAGGTCACTTGGATCGCCCTGAGGAGGCCAGTGAATCTGTCCACCAAGGGCACACTCAGGGGACTCAGCATGGTGTCCCAGTTGGGTTGCATGCACTCCGAGGCACGATTCTGGAGATTGCTCTCACAGCAAAGGTATTCAGCACATGGCGTCACGATGTACGGGATGAAATAATAATTTCCACCAGATACCTGGAAAACAGAAACAAAAAGGTTTCACAAAGCAACTGATGCAGAAGTACAACTGTGGACTTGGAATCTGCTGGGACAGGGAAAAAGAAAATGCTTAAGTATTATCACAACTTGTGCAGTATGATTATAAACTTATTAGGCACAGAACAGGGAACCACTCAATTTCACAAGGTCTAACACATGGATGTATGACAAAAATTTGATTTAAATACTGAACTGATCTGTGTATGTCTCAGAACTTCACTGACAGAGATTTTAGGGGTTGAAAGTCTTGGAAATTACATTGTTTCACTACATGCCTGCTAAATCAGAGGGAATCTGAACCCACTGATAACCAAGAATTGTAAATGAAGATATTCCTGCAGCAGACATGCCATGTAGTGATGGCATACAATCATCCATTTGTTTTGTTCAAACAAATGAACGGCTATCGTAACATCAGAGAATTATTTCAGAGCTGGCATGAATCTCAGTAATCACCTGATTAATCATCTCATTTTATGGAGGAGGCAACTGAGACCTAGCAAGTCTACCAACTAGCCCACAGAAGACCACAGAGACAGAGAAATCTCATGTCCTCTTCCTCCCTTCCCAGGATTCTTGTCACTGCCATTCCAGCCTAATTCTGAAATATCCTTAAATAAGGGAAGCCATGATATACAAAATACCCAACACAAAAAGATGAGTGAATGGTGACTATTATGGTATGTAAATTACATATCAAAGGAAATGGGTATCATGGGACACCAAAGATTTATTCAGTTGGCAGGAGAAATTAAATATTTGTATTTAATTTCTGACACTGGCCCTGTAAAATGTGACATTACTCTTGTGATAATCAAAAGGTACAGAGAAAAGTTGTGATTCGCACTTCCAGAGTACTCCAATTCAAAAGAGAACAGGAATGTAGAAAAAAAGACAAAAACCCTTGAGCAGAGAATTGAAGATGAGGTAGAAACAAACAAACAAAGCTACACCAATGAAATATTCAAAGGGCAGATGTTTTTACATAAATCATATTCTATGTACAAAATAAAATTCTCCATCTACTATGGGATATAGCCTTCTTGTTTGAAATTGGGCCTTCACTAATGAAAGTGGCAGAAAGAAATTCTGATTCTGAACTCAGAAAACCCAAGGGCTAAGAAAGAAGAAATTTAACTGTCCTTTCACCAAAGTGTCCCTAAGCAATCTATACTATCTTTGATAATTCTGGATCCCAAGCTATAGCACACTAAAGAACGGAAGAAGGCAGGTGGGAAGGACCAGGAGATATTGTTACCTTCAACTCCAGGCCTAAGTGTGGTTGTAAGCCAGGTAAAAAGCTTCCAATATTATAGAAAATGCACCCAATATTGACAATGTCTGTTTCTCAAAGAAATTCCAATTTATTAGGATTATAGAGATAGCTATTTTGATGGGAAAAATGAGTTTCTATTAAATCTCATTGACTTTCCAGAAAAAATAATTACCTGTTCCAAGGATCAGAAAAACAGATTAGCTTTTTAATACGATGTTTTTACTTTTTTTTCTTTTGTTTTTCAGAGAGAGGAAGGGCAAGGGAGAGAGAGATAGAAACATCAATGATGAGAGAGGGTCATTGATCGGCTGCTTCTTGCATGCCTGCAACTGGAGATCGAGCCCACAACCCAGGCGTGTGCCCTGACCAGGAATCAAACCGTGATCTCCTGGTTCACAGGTCGATACTCAACCACTGAGCCATGCAGGTTGGGCTAATAAGATGTTTTTTAATAACATGACCCTAGCTTGGATATTTTGACTCTCCTTTTTAAAAACTGTGAACTTCGGCTTCAGGACATGACAAATGAAAATAAGGCCTAGTGTACTTTAACAATTCTCATCTTCTCCTAGTAATTTTCCTGGGGGACAGGGGAGGTGTAGCTCCCCATGTTTCCTCTCTTGCAAGCTAATCACCCACCAATTCAATGGAAAAAATATTTCTGCGCCTCCCAGCCTTGGAGATATATTCATCAGTCTTGGAGTATATATGATTTATATATTTCTCAAATGAATTGATTACAACATGGTAGACACTCAGGTGCACACCCAGAGCAGCCTTCAAGGAAGGACATGTTGCCCCAGCTGCTGGAAGAACAGCAGCCACCAGCCCCTGCTGTCAGCTCCTTTTGAAATTGCCTCAGTTGTAGAGAGCACCTCACCCAAGGTCACATTCCTACCTGTGAGGGATGAATGTAGGAATATAAAGGCCTGGCCATCTCATGCCAACTCAGACAGGCTATTCCAGCTCTAGAGTTGCCCATGGGGTCAGCCAAGGCAGTCACTGAGCCTGCAACCCAGCTTGATTTCTCTTTCTACCCAGTCCTGCTTCCTTCCCTCTTCTTCTTCAGCGTTGATCCCCAGGGCACTCCTTAATAAATCTACTGTTCACTAAACTCAGTCTCAGAAGCTACTTCCAGGGGGAAATCAACCTGCAAAATATACATACCAGACTTTGAAGGTATGGTTATTTTTACAAAGAAAAATTAAAATAAAGTTAAAGAATACCTGTTGACTATGTACACTAATCACAAACTACCAGAAAGTTCCAAGGTTTAATAGATGGTCTCTTGGGGTTGGCTTTATTTTCACTCTTATTTTCATAAAGGCACAACCTTTATCTTTCATCATATAAACATGTTTTCTGAAGTGATAAAATGCTGAAAGTGGCTATCTTTACTATCTCTAAAGCAGTAAAAAACAGCGTAACAATCGAAGATGTATGAAAAAGAAGTCATTTTATGAAACTAATTAAAAAACAGGAGCCCAGGATGGTGTAACTCAGTTGGCTGGGCATTGTCCCGTGCACCAAAAGGCTTCCAGTTCGATTCCTGGTCAGGACGCATGCCCAGGTTGTGGGCTCAATCCCTGGTAGAGGGTATGCAGGAGGCACCCAATCAATGTTTCACTCTCACAACGATGTTTCTCTCTCTCTCTCTCTCTCCCTCTCAAAATCAATAAACTATTCTTTAAAAAAACAAACCCTGAATTGTTTTAGCTCAAATAATGGATTATGAAGTAAAATGTAATAAGTATTAAAGATTTTTGTGGAAAGTATTTTTAAATCAATCCTGAAAATGAAATTAAGAAAACAATTTCATTTATCCAAAAGAATAAAATATCCATAAATAAATTTAACTAAGAAGGTGAAAGACTTGTATACTGAAAAATACAAAACATTGCTGGAAGAAATTATAGAGGACCTAAAGACATCCTGTGTTCTTGGATTGGAAGGCTTAATATTGCTAAGATGTCAATACCACCCAAGCAAAATACAGTACCTATCAAAATTCCAATGGCCTTTTTTGTAGAAATGGAGAAGCAGATTCTCAAATTCACATCAAATATGCTAGTGACCCCAAATGGCTAAAAACAATTTGGTATAAAGAACAGTGTTGAGGGAACTAGATTTCCTAATTTCAAAACTTACTATCAAGCTTCAGTAATCAAAACAGCATGGTACTGGGCAGAAGGGCAAACATATAGACCAATGGCCTAGAATTGAAAGTCCAGAAACAAAGCCTTAAATTTATGATCGGGCCTGGCCGGGCGTGGCTCAGTGGTTGAGCGTAGACCTAGGATCCAGGCGATCGGGGTTCGATTCCCGGTCAGGGCACATGCCCTGGTTGAGTGCTTGATCAATGACTCTCTCATCATTGATGTCTCTCTCTCTCCCTCTCCTTTCCTCTCTCTGAAACCAATAAACATATATTTAAAAAAAAAAATTATGATTGGCTGATTCTGAGAAGGGTACCAAGACAATTCAATGGGGGAAAGAATAGCCTTTATAAGAAATGCTGCTGGGACAACTGGATATCCACATGCCAAAGAAAGAAATTGTATTCCTATACCTCACATCAGACACAAAAATTAACTCAAAATGGACCACAGAGGTAAATGTATCAACCAAAACTATAAACTTTTTTAAAGAAAAATAAAGAAGTAATTCTTCATGACCTTAGGTTAAGCTAACAGTTCTTAGATATAACACCAGAAGCATGACCTATAAAATAAATAATTGATAAAGTCTCTGATAAGGGTCTTGCTTCCAAACTATATAAAGAACTCTTACAACTCCATAATAAGACCAAAAAACCCAACTAAAAATGAGCAAAAGATCTGAAGAAGACTATGAATGGCTAATAAACACATAAGAAGGTGCTCAACATCATTAGTCACTAGGGAAATACAAAACCACAATGATACACCACTTCATATTCCTCCTAAAATGTATATAATAGAAGGACAATACCAAATATTGGTGAAGATATGAAGAAACTAGACCTTTCATTGTTGATGGAAATGTAAAGTGGTACAGCCACTTGGGATATCATTTTGGTAGTTACTTAAAAATTTACATTTGTATTTACCATATGATCCAAGAATTCCACTCCTAGGTATCTACCTAAGAGAAATGAAGACACATTTCCACCCAAAGACTTATACTTGAATATTTATAGCAACATTATTCATAATAACCAAACAGTGGAAACAATCTAAACGTCCAACAGCTGGGGAAGATATAACTCAAATGTGGAAAAGCTATACAATAGAATGCTATTCAGCAATAAAGAAGAAAAAAACTACTGATACATGCTACATCATATGAACCTAAAAAACATCATGCTAAGTGAAAGAAACTAGACATAAAAGACCACATTATTGTAAGGTTCCATTTATATGAAAAGTCCTGAAAAGGTAAATCTATGAAATAAAGCAAATTAGTGGATGCTTGGAGCTGAGGGTGGAACAGGGATTGTCTTCAAAAAGGTGTTTTGGGGGAGAGATGGAAAGTGGATTGTGGTGACGGCTGCATACCTCTTATTAAAAATCACTGAACTGTGTGCACAAAGGTAAATTTTATGGTGTACATATATTATACCTAAACAGTTTTTTGTTGTTGTCTTTTAAAAATCCTGGCACACAAGAATATGAGCATTATCTGAAAAAGAGGTGAGCAAAAAAGGTGATACTGTGTTGTTAAAAAACAGAAGAGCCCAGAATGACTGAAGGGCTGGTCCAGCCTGAAGCCTAGAGATTGATCTCCCATCCTTTACATCCCTGCAAAGCAACTGCTCCTAAAAACAGAAGCACATATGCCTATCTGTGATGGTTAATTTTATGTGTCAACCTGACTGGCCACTGGGTACCCAGATTAAACATATTTCTAGGTGTATCTGTGAGAGTGTTTCTGGATGAGATTAGCATTGGTCAGTGAACTCGGTCAAGTAGACTGTCCTCCCCACTGTAGGTGGGCATCATCTAATCCACTGAGGTCTGCACAGAACAAAAGGCAGAGGAAGAGGAATTTGCCTGCTTTTTTCTGCCTGCTTGAGCTGGGACATTTAATCTCATCTTCTCTGATCCTTAGGATAGGATTTACAGCATCAGCAAACCTGCTCCTCAGGCCTTCAGACTTGGACTGAATGACATCACCTGCTTTCCTGGGTATCCAGCCTACAGGTGGCAGATTGTGGGACTTCTTAGTGTCCATAATTACGTGAGGTGATTCCTCATAATAAATATCACCATTTCCTTCTCTATATATCTCCTACTGGTTCTGCTTCTCGGGAGAACACTGACTAATACACCATCCCTCTACTAAATGAAGCCAAGCTCAATATACCATTAGGCACAATTCTAGAGACTTAAAATGACTCCCTGAAGACAGAGATCTCAAAGCATCTTGGTTTCCATATATTCACAAATCACTTCAAGCATCCAGCAGCATGTTCAGTGTGTGGCATTTAATCTGTACACCTGACTTGCAGGACTTTATAATTCACCAACTATGACTACGTTGTATCTCTTTTTAAAAAGCTGTCCAATTATCACAGACTCACAATTTCATGAGATGCAAGCCTCTGGAGTTATATGATCCAGACCCCAATCCATATGGAGGGGCAAATTAGCAGATTCTCTTAAAAAGTCACCTTATTACTTCGATATTCGATTTCAACATTTAATCACCATTAATTGTGAGCTGTCCATTCTGCTCAACCCAACCTATTTTTAGTTTGCCCTACTTCCATGGCATCTGAAGGAGAAGAAATAACTGTCTCCCTACATTCCAAAAAGAGATAACATTTGAAAATGACCATAGACAATACCTCTCAAGGTTCATGTCCCTTCAACCTGTCCTCTTAGGTGCTATTTTATACCCTTCCAGCCACCTCTGGTCCTTTATTTTGTTCTCTAATTTCTCATACCCCATCAAGAATGGCAACTAGTACCAGGCACAGAATTCTAAAGTAATGTCAAATTTAGCAGAGAGATTAGTTGCCAAATCCTTTAGAATAAATTCATTCCTAAAAAAACAAAAACTTAGGGAGAATGGTGCCATGGTATAATAGAATTAAGAAGAATTGGAAGGATTTCCTGGTTGTTTAGGAGGGAGAATGTTCCAGAGAAGGAAGGATATATAGCGGAATGGTAACAGAACAACACTAAGTCTCCTAGAGGTTCTAGTCCCTACTATACCCAACAGTCAGGATGGCAACAGAAAGTGTTTTCTTCCTTGCATCTTGCCTTAATGTAATTCTTGTTTTAAGGAATAACTTTTTCCTAAACATTCCTTGCATTAAATCCAAATTATGCCTTTTCACTTGTGCGACTAATATGGAATGACAGACATTAAGTGCTGGAAGTTACCTATGAACAAAATCACAGAATTCAACCTTCTCTTTTTACTGATGAGGACACTGATGATTGGGGTGGTGGGGGGTTGGAGTGACTGCCCAAAGTTCCTTAGAGACAGGGCTGGACTACTATCTGTGCCTCCCGGCGTCAGGCTCAAACTCCTTTGACTGGACGCCCCCTCCCCATCTCCATTGAAGAATTTAAGAAATTGAGATCTAGAAAGAAAGGAAAGACCCCCTGGAAGTGGACAATATCAGTATGTAAATGGGACAAAATGAAGTGACATATCTTCCTATTTTTCCCCCCAAGAGGAACTCAAAATCACCCTGATGCATTTTATAGGCCGGCTTGTTAAATCCAGGCCCCAGTGGTAATCCACTTGTTCTTTCTAGAAGTTCATCCTCTGAATTGGAGGAGGGGGAGTCAAGGCTCTGCCTCAGGTAGGGAATTCTGCCTGGGCGAGAAGAAGGGTGGGGTCTTATGTGGAGGGAATAAAATCAACAAAGCTCCTGCTCCCCTGTGGAGGGCACCTTCAGGAGACCTCTACCTCCTGGGATCTTTTCTCCCTCTCTTTCTGGGAACTCCAAGTGAAATAGGAAAAGAGGCAGGATGCCCTTGCCTTCTAGAAGGGCCACTGAAAAGGAGGCTGAGGGTCACACACACAAAAAAAAAAATGAAGGAACTGTCCCTAGCCTAGGTCACAATTTCTTAAACCACAAAGACATAGGTCCGGAAGGATGGGGGCATTAAAAAGTATGGGATAACCCTGGCACAATTTCCAAGGATATGATCTTATTTGAATGTTTTTAGGGTGGGGGTTTCATCATACAATTCAAACCAACATGGCATTATCAATATGCCACTACAGGAACTTTTAAGCCAAATCGGGAGACTTTAGCACAGAAACTGGAGAGAAGGAAGTGGAAATCTGTACCACTTCTTTTCAGCTATGGCAGGGAATGTGGACTAGGCCCCTATATTAACTGGGGTATAAATTCATGTTTCACCGTTACGGAAACTTTGGTGGTAAGTATGGGGGGTACTGGCTCCAGCAAAAAATAAATAAAGCAATCAATCTTTTTTTTTTTTAATGCTGGGATATGATTTTGGGTTTTCACTTTAATTTTTCAAATTTCTCAATTACAGTTTACTGTATTACCTTGTATTGGTTTCAGGTGTGCAGCATAGTGATTAGACAATCACATACTTCACAAAGTGTTCCCCTTGATATTTCCAGCACCCACCCGGCACCATACATAGACCTAGCAATTATTATTGGCTATATTCCCTATGCTGTCCTTTACATCCTTGTGACTATTCTGTAACTACCAACTTGTACTTAATCCTTTCACCTCTCTCACCCAGTCCTCCAACTCTCTTCCTCTTTGGCAATCACCAATAAGGTCAGGCTCAAAGTCCTAGCATGTCAAAAAGAACAAGTACACTTGCCTGACCTTGCCTTCTGCCCCACAGCCTGGATGGCTGAGTGGGGCCTCAGCTAGCTGGCAACTTGAGGGACAGGGGGTTCTAGCTATCCCCCTTAGAAACACAACCAACAGGCACAATTAGAAATCACTTTGCTATCTGTGGGATTTTCAGGCAAGCATTTTACATATTTACATTTCCGAAGTTAAAAATCTGGAAATATAATACTTACTGTGTTTTTCTGAGTTACCATATCCTGAAAAGAAAAGAAAAAATGAGCTGAGTACAGTTTTTCCAAAACAGTTAATTTCCATAAGCAAGTACTTTGCCCCAACCCATCATCCAGAGTAAATAGGTTGAGACCTCCTCTGCAAAAAACTTCAAATGAAATGAGCCCCCAACAATTGTAAAATTCATATTCTAAGGAAAATTTATCATAATTGGTTAGCTTTGGAACTACTGGGGGGGCATATACGGTTATAAGAATTTTCCAGTAACAATGGCAATGCTTTCTTCCCAGAGAGAATGAGATTCAAGTTTGGGGCTCTGAATGCCCTACACCTCATCTTCCCAGTAAGGAATGTCAGTGACAGCAAGGAAGTGCATGGGAAGCACCGTGGTATGCTAGGGTATGAAACACTTCTGGACTCATCAATGTAAAGGCTGCAGGGCACCTCCACAGAAAGCCTTCCTATGGAAGAGGTGTCACTGGTAGGATTCCTGACCCCTTACTATAGTTGCCTAGGCATCTCCAAATTCAGTAACAGCAATTTTAGTCAGTAAATTTAGCATAATGTTTGTGCAGCCCTTGAGTGTATTATTTATGCACTGCAAGCCAACATTTGCAAAAAAAAGAAAACATAACTAAAGAGCTGTCCATAAAACAGTTTTTACATGTCCTGAGATTTCTATTTTCTGATGACAAATGTAGGTTGCTTCTTCTGGCATCAGATATAACTGACTATGCACTTCCATTTTAGGAAATATTATTCAATATCATTAAAAATTAAAACTATCTAGGTCATAAGACTTTCCAGGAGTTCACTGAGGCTCAGCTGAGAAAAAAATGTATTAAATTTGGAAAAAATATATTCTAATTTGTTTCTCATAAAAATATACTTAATAATGTACCCTTTAGTATTTTCTAATTCTAAATATTTCCAGCAATAACTACCTTAGTGAAATCAGTAAAAGAAGAAATTAGTATCTAAAGTAATTTAGATTGGTTTATAGCCTTTTGGGAAACTATTCTACAATGTACAGTACAATAATAAAATAGTTTCTTCTTTCAATGTCATATGAATGACTTCTTAAAACACAGTTCTGTGCTACAATTACAGAGCACACACCTATATAAAGTGTATATGATATATAACATATACAGGTTACACATCTGAAGAAGGTGGAATTTCTACCCAGAAATAATCCCAAATTATTATAGAACCCAGAATAATTTGGTTAATATTAAATCTCAAGAAACACAAAAATGTCTAACTTTGCCATCACAAAATTATGATGTCCATGAAAGCTAACTCTGAACCACTGTCACTGGTTCTCACCACTGGCTGCAGATTTGGGAGGTTAAAAAAAGTTCCCTCAAGACTATGATGTAATTGGTCTGGGGTGTGGCCTGGGTACTAGGATATTTACAAGTGCTCCAAGTGATTCTGAAGTGCAGTCAAGGTTGAGTAACACTGCTATCAACAAGCTAATGTTTTATTCCTGAAATGATTTAACACAGATCAACACTGTCTAACATTAAGATATTCAAAAATATTAATTTAGTAGCTTAATTTTGTAGTAATTCACCTTAGACATTCACATTTTACAAATATAAACATTTTTAAGAGTACTATGTTATCCCAAAAAACATTTGTATAAAACTTGCAAAAATACATTTAAAAATTCTCAATCATTACTGAGTTGCGCCTAAACATACAAGTTTTCCGTTTTATTTCGCTTTAAACTGAGGGAAAAATAACATTAAATACTGACTGTATCTATTCCCAAACTTTCTGCCCATTTTGGTAGCTGTTAAATGTCTTATTATTATCCAAGTTGAGCAATGCTTTTTTTTTTTTTTTTTTTTTTTAAATGTATAGATTTGGACCAAATTGTACAAGCAAGTCTTTGTTTCAACTGAACATATAATACTGCTTTCCCAAAACAAAGTATTCAGGAGAGGTGAACGATGCCCTTTACCTTCAATGAAAGAGCAGTGTCAATGTCAGTGTCATAGTACAGGATCACGTTATTGGTCATGCTGAAGCTTTCTCGAACTCCAAGATGGTAGAATAGTGAAGGCTGTTTGGAGATATCACTCATGTCCACCACAGCAATATCTGAAATGAACAGGGAGAGGACAGGTGTAGGTGAGAGAGGTGATCTGTCTACTTAATCCACTTCCTGGTGACCACCAGGAAGCTGCTACCATTTATATTTCTACCATCAGCCTTTTAGGTGAAGCACAAGTGAGAAATGACTTGCTTAAAATTATGCACCCCATGAACTCTGGAAGAAAAGCAACAAGAATTGAAAAAATAAAAATCCCTTCCTTCTTCAAAGTGCTGGGAATGTAGCCTCACTTAAAAACTGCTGGGGGAACCCAGCTGGGAGCGGCTCAGCGGTTGAGCATCGACCTAGGATCCAAGAGATTGCAGTTCGATTTCCTTTCAGGGCACATGGCTGGGTTGTGGGCTCGATCCCTGGTTGGGGGTGTGCAGGAGGCAGCTGATCAATGACGGCTCTCTCATCATTGGTGTTTCTATCTCTCTCTCTCCTTCTCCCTTCCTCTTTCTGAAATCAATAAAGATATATTTAAAAAAATTGCTGGGGGACTTATTATTCTTAATGTATATTTAAAAATTGCTGGGAAATTTATTTTTAATGTATTTTTATTAGGAAATATGTCATATCCAAAGGATACATTTAGCTTATATATGAAGTATAAGGTATAATGAAATGAAAAACCACACACCCACCATTCAGCCCAAAACACAGAGCATTATCTGTACTGATGGAGCCCCACATGCCTCTTCCCAGTCAGAGCCCTACCCTCCTGCCCAAGAACACCTCTGTTCTGATCTCTGTATTTACCAGTTTCCTGCATATAACTGTATGCATGTATATGTATATTATGCATTATTATAATGTATGAATTCCTAAACTGTATATTGTTTAGTTTTATACATCTCTGAGCTTTATATAAACAGTATCACGCTATTTGTATTCTTTGACTTACTGCTTTTGGTGTGAGACCACCAATTTGTACATCTAGCTTTAGGTCATACATTTCCACTTCAGCATAGCCTTCCATTGTATGACTAGATGGCAATGTCTGCATCCATCCTGTCTAGATACATTTTGTTCATTTTTTTAGTTTTTCCTATTTCAAACTGTTGTAATAAACATTCCTGTGCCATGCTCCTGGCTCACATGTCTGCCATCAACTTGACAATGTAGCTTAAATGCCCCTGGAGTTGTGTCCTAGAGAGGCCTATTCAAAACAGGGGGGTGACATATTACATCGATAAGGAACATGTTTTAATTTTCCCAGGAGTACTGGATACCATTTTCAAAGCTCGTAATTTTTGAGAGCATATAAACGCTCCAAGTTTGACTGGACCTTCCCTACCACTTGCAGAGATTCTGGAAAGTAATGTCTAAACTTAAGCTCATGATGCGAGGACTCATAGGAAGTCGATGAAAATCCCAATGAAACAGAACAAAGGTGAACTGAACAAGGGTGTAAAGAAACAAGATGCCAGGCAGAAGTTACATGAGCACCAGGCGTGGCTGGCTCTGTGCAGAGGCACCAGAAGACCTGCGGTCAAGCGTTAATAAGCCCTGGGTAGGCCTTTTACTCTCCAATTTATGGACTGGATGCCTGCTATGTGGCAGGCATCATGCTGGGTACCAAGGATAGAAGTATGAATGAGGAATGGTCCCTTTCCTCAAAAGAAGTATAATACGACAGTGGTAACAGGAAGGAAATGGTAGTTAGAATCACCATGAGGATAGCTAAAGTGAGAGAAATGGTGACAAAGGCACCTCTGGGCAAAGAGCAGTCAGAGAAGGTATGGACAGAGTGATATTATCTGGCACCTGAGGGTCCATAATAGTTAGGCAGGCAAATCAGGTGAGGATGGGGGGAAGGAAAGGGTGTTGTAGGAAGGGTCTTTATAGCAAGTGCAAGGGGCCAGATGTAAGATGGGGCATAGGTAGTAAGGCCACTGCAAATAATTTCATGGGACCAGAACACCCAAGAAGGTGAACCTGGAAAGGTTAGTAGGGGCCAGGAGGTAACAGAGTCTGAAGGCCATGTTAAGAAGGTCGGCATCTACCTTGAGGCAATGAGAAATGTATGGTAGGGTTGGGTGTTTGGGTTTTTACTTATTATGTAAAATTATAAATATATATAAAAGTAAATAGAAGAGTATAATGAAACCTCTGAACCTTCCCTACCTCTCTCAACAATTATCAACTCACAGCCAGCCTCCTTGATTCATCTGTATTGTCATCCACACCACTTCCTTCCACTTTATTCTGAAGCAAATCCCAGACAGCAGATCATTTGCTCCCCGAATATTTCATCATGTTATCACTAAAAGATGAGAACCCAAGGAAAATAAATACCCATTGTATCAATGTCTCACCTAAAATTAAAAATAAAAAATCACGAGGGATTTAAAACCGGAGACTAACATATCCAAATTTACCTGTTAGAGGTAGTTGCTCAAGAAAGGACAAATGTATATGCTAAGGAAACACTACAACCCAGCCTGGTTAATTTATCTCAAATCGATAACTGTTCCCCACAGACATTTGCTTGGAGTCAAAAATCATACTGCATCTGAATAAATTGGACATTTGGCCTATATGATTGTTCCCTCGGCTCTACTACCTACTCAAATTAAAAAGAATATGTTTCCTAGTGATTCAAGAAGTGGTGACGTACATACTAATTCCACAGCTATGAGGACTTCTATAATTAGTTAATAAAGGAAAGAAAGCAAATGGAGAAGACAAAGGAGAGGGATGGGAGAGAGCAGAGGGCAGGGCTAAAGGACAGCAGCCCCCCGGTAATGCAGGCTATTTTCATAGGAAACTTGCACCTTCATGAAGCAGCTTTTCACTGAATAGATTAAGTTTTTTTTTCCTTTTATTTTTTATTGTTGACATTATTATAGATGTCCCTCATCCCTCCCCTGCTTTGCCCACCTCCACCCAGCCCCAGCCCTCCTCTCCTTCTGGCCCTCATCACACTGTTGTCTGTGTCCATGGGCTATGCACATTGCTTGGCTAATCTTCTCACCTTCTTTCCTTGTCTGCCCCACCCAAAATAGATTAAGTTTGATTCTGACATGAGGTGCTTCTTTGCCTTCTCAGCATTCTGTGTTGGGACCTGAATACTGGCCTCACCCCCTCCACTAAGGAGCCCCTCTATAGTCTCTGGGGATGGAGACTTTTTGTTGCCTAACTACCACAGAACAAACCTATATT